TCCGCCTCGTCCAGCTTACCTCGGCTACGATATAGATTCCCGAGATTGTTGACCGCGAGGAGTGTCGACGTGTGATCCGGTCCCAGTGCCTTCTCAAACCCAGCCAGCGCCCGCCGATACATCTGTTCCGCCTCGTCCAGCTTGCCTTGGTCATAATAAAGCGCACCGAGATTGTTGACCGTGTCGAGGGTCGATGTGTGATCCCCTCCCAGCGTCTTCTCGAACCCAGCCAGAGTGCGTAGGTACATCTTCTCCGCCTTCTCTAGCTTGGCTTGATTAGCATATAGTTGACTAAGGTTATTCACTGTGCGGAGTGTTAATGGGTGATCGGCTCCTAACGCTTTCTCCAGGCCAACCAACGCTCGCTGATACATCTTCTCCGCCTCATCCAGCCTACCTTGATCAGTGTAGAGAAGACCGAGATTGTTGACCGTTTTAAGCGTCGACGTGTGATCCCCTCCTAGCGCCTTCTCGAACCCAGCTAGAGCGCGCTGGTACATCGTCTCCGCCTCATCCAGCTTGCCTTGCTCAGCGTATAGTAGGCCAAGATCGGTAACCGTGTTAAGCGTCGATGGATGATCCGCTCCCAGCGCCTTCTCATACCCAGCCAGCGCCCGCTGGTACATCTTCTCGGCCTCGTCCAGCTTGCCTCTGTCACGATATAGATTCCCGAGATTGTTCACCGTGCTCAGTGTCGACGTGTGATCCGGTCCCAGCTCCTTCTCATACCCAGCCAGTGCCAACATGTACATCTGATCCGCTGCTAAAAGCTGAACCTGTTGGGTTAATAGCTCAGCGATTAACCATGCTTTTCCCAGTCGATCACCAGTGAGGCCCTCCATAATTTCACCACGAGAGCCGCTAACGTATCCAAGCCGTAGCGCATGTGCAGTCAGATCGGCCAGATGAGAATATCCAAGCGAATTAAAGTCTTCCTGTTCGACCGACGCACCCACACAGTCGAAAGCGTACCAATACTGCTTCTCGTCTACCACCTTGTTAAGTGCCGAGAACGTCCAATCGTGTACGGAAGTGTGCATACTCCACGATGCCACCGACGTTTGCATTTCCAGGAAGCAGTAGTTTGTCAGCCTTCTCATCGAGCTCTCGAACTCGACCTCGCTCAAAATGATTCCATGCAGCCACAATGGTAAGTCTTCGGAAAATCCAGATCGGAATAGCTCATACCAAACGCGCCGATTGCTAAAGTATGCCAGCAGGCCTAACAACTTTGCCGCATCCGCATCCTCGACTTCGAGACGAGCATACGAGAGATTCCAAGTAGTGTAGAGCGTACGGTCTTGATACTCGTGGAGTTGAAGGGACCGCCGTGTGTCATGATACCAGCGATGCTCGTACTCCTGGAGGTAGCGCTCACAAGTGAAGGTGCTTTGGCGAAGATATGCCCCGGCGGTGGCCAAGGCCAGGGGCAGACCATTGAGTCGCTCAACAAGTCGCCTCGCATGATAATCTGAAGAGCAACAATAAGTAAGCGGTCTTATACGTCCACAGCTAACCTACCAAATCTAATATTCCTTCGTCGGGATCGAGTTTCTAAGATCTCGAGGCTTTCTTCAACACTCCGGAGAGGCTGTAAGCGTATCTGCGACCCCGCCACAAGATCCGGTCGCCGTGTCGTGACGATGATCGCCCCGTGGGAGACATATGGATAATATTGTTCGATTCGGTACTGGTCCGGGTCATCGTAGTTGTCAAAGATGAGCAGCCATCGCGTGTTCTTCTTGTCGGACAACCATCGCCGTGTCTGGATCACGCTCTGCTCATCCTGCAGCACTTGCGCGTCCTGGACATCAAAGATGGCCTCGGCCACCAGCCGAAAACTGTCCTTGAGCGTGGCCTCGGACGCTGCATTGAGCCAGAATATCGAGTCGTATTCCTGCTGGTGGCGCGTCGCGAAAGCGATAGCCAGCTGCGTCTTACCCATCCCACCCGTACCCGCCAGCACAAGCCGTCGCTGCTCCGAAGACGAGTCACCGGGTCGCAGAATCTCTCGCATTTGGGCAATTTCGGACTCTCGCCCGATGAAGAGTTTCGGGTCGATATAAGGGGCCTGACTGAGGCAGACACCAACAGGCTGGATTAACCTTTCGTTTTTGTATTCTCTGCGAAGATCCTGACTGGGATCAGGTTCCTTCCGCAAGCGCTCGTGACGGTCTCTCTGAATATCGTTCCAAATATCAGCCAGAACTTCAGTAACAATATCACTTGCGTCTGGTACAATTTTGCAGTCCGCTTCGCAGCTTTCGAGCTCCTTCACTGTGTTTGTACGACCAACCGCCACGGATAGTCGAGGGGAATTGTCGTCAGATTCTTGTTCTGAAGGTAATTCGAGATCAAGTAGGACTGAGTCTGTTCGTGAGCCCTGCGGCGCATTCGACTCCTGGTCCCAATCCCGAACGAGTCTATTGGAGAAGAAGAAGGCGAGGGCTTTGAGGTGCTGGCCGATGTACCTCTCTATTCTGTCGTGGTCGCTGGCTTGCGGCAAGCGGTCACTTGGCTGATGTTTCACTTGAGTTCGCCTGGCAGGACGGCCGATGCCGTCCCTGTCGCTTCCACTCTGCGAACCATCTGACACAGCAAATCTCGCCCTTTTTTTCTTATGAGACTCCTGTGATTCCCGAGTTACAGTAGACATAGGTGTTTCGTCCTCCAAGGCGCTGCGGTTACCCTGGGGCGCATGTCTTTGGCGGGCTTTTGGTTTGTGGTCATCCTTACAGATTGGGCATACGTCTACAGGTCGAGGCGTTGGAATGCCACTGACGCTTGCCAAGTTCCACTGGTCGTCTTCGTCCAACTCGGCGTGCTTTTGCTTCATGTGTTCGACCAAGCTCTGCTGCAGCTTCTCCTCAGATACAAATTCTGTGGCCGAGGTCGAGGAGCACACAGGGCATTTCCAAATGAGGGGATTGTGCATGGATCGAATCCATTGCGGCGTATGTATCTTGTGCATGTGCTGCTTCCAATCCCTACTCCTGGCAAAATACTGGGGGTTTTGAGTGCAGTCCTGGGATAGGCAGACATACGGCTTGATATCCTGGCCAACATGGATCCTATGCAAACGTCAGCGCGAAGTAGACACGGTGCAAATACTAGCCCTATCTCTGGGGTTGGCTGAGTGACCCACATCCACTTTTCGCCTTCAAAAGTATCAGCAGGGCAACGTTGTCCGCATAAGAGACAGATACCCTCAGTTGCGTCCTTGGGAAGCCGCGGCGGCCTAGGATACATAGCATCACCTGACTCCGATACCTGGTATGCAAAATCACCTGACGTGTTCGCTGTATCGTGTTCCTCTGCGTTCTCCATCTTGGCCTTGAAGCGCAATCCATCGATGGTGTTGGGCAATGTTGTCTCGGATCGAGTGAGCTCGCTGAGCGAGGGGGTTAATCCCACAGCCGGCGGCTGAATTGCTCCTCCGCTTTCCTGATAATGCTCTGGGTTAGCAACCCTCTCTGCCATCCGTGGAGGCTCATTCATCGGCAAGGTCTGGTTTAGGTCTTTCAATCTACGCTCTCGCTCGTAGATCATGCGATAGTGTCGAAACACAATTGATTTAAATAGCGCTCGGAAGAGGCCCGAGAACGAGCTTGACCGTAATAGTGCCCGGAAATCTTCCAGAGATTCTGCTTCCTCCAAGGACTCGGTTACTTCAGAGGTGGACAGCAGCGTCTCCCGAAAGTCGGAAGCTGGCACCACGCAGGGGAAACGGACCAAGATAACCTGCCAAACAAGTCTCTCGAACCCCTCGTCCCGGTTCTTCTCCGCATACACGTGGACTCTGCGATGTAGGCTGGCCTCTGTAGCGTCAAGGATGGCGGCGGCAAGCCTCTCGAGGCGTTTCAATGCCCCATCAATGCCGAAGAACGGGGCCTTTAGGTCACTTGTCATGGATGCTGGTGTTTCTTTTGAAGATAGCGAATTCAAAGCTGTATGATGTCGAGGTTAGCCTCTGCCACATTTTTGCTGCTTTTGTCTCTGCCTGGCAAGACCTCAGGGTTGGAACAATCGGCATACCAAGAAACAGATTTTCCCTCAGCACATCAAGAAGAAGTAGCACCATCTCTCGGATTTGCTTGTTTGCGGCGGGTCGCAGCTGCGCATCCAGGTTGACATGAGGTCGTGCGAAGACCTTCAGGCTGTGCGACCACGCCCGGAAACGGCGTTGTTCGTCCTCGAGCGTCGCCAAAACGTCATCGTCAGGGCCTTCAGAAAGGCAAGTGTTGAAAAGCCCCAAGCAGAGGCTCACTATGCTTGCTATTTCGCTTCCTGAATCCATAGGGATAGGATGAGAGCTCTGGAGGATGGAATGAACTGGTGCGACAAGTCGCTCACGGACGGCGCGGGATGTGGCACACCAAGATGCGGCACAACCAGATGCGGCACGAACTGCCGCTAGCGCAGCAATTTATTGTGCAGCAAATCGGAGCAATTCTCTGTTGTGCTCCGTCATGTTGCCAGACAACACTAATATCATTTGGTTACATGAATGTGAATTGTAGGCTGCCACTATGAACGGCAGTTCTCCTAGCTAGATGCTTAGCTTAAACAGCTTGCTACCAGGACTTGGGAACAACCCAAGTGACCCCTGGCTCGGAGATCTTTCTATAACTTCCCGTCGAGTCCTCCGTATCATCCTCCTCGAGCACTTCAAAGTCTAGACCTGCTACAGTGCCTCGGCTCTTCTGCTTAGATCTATTATCTCCAACCAGTTCAGCGCCAGCGTTGCTTGGCTCTTCCGTTAATACTCTGGAGCTCCCAAAGCCGAAGAAGCCTTTCTTCTTATACCTCAGTTTTCGCACCCTGATTGCCAAGATGCGTTCAGTCTGCTCCTCTCCCTTCTGACTCACTGTAAAGGCGCGGGATGACCCAAGCTTTGGGCCAACCGAGACGGCCGTCCCGATGTTGGCCCCGAGCTCCAGCCGCCCTCCCACCCTTTTTGCCCTTGTGATGTTGACTGACGTCTTTGTGCCGAACTTCAGCCCAGTTACCATGTACACCGGGCCGTAATCAATCCTCTTCAGGAATCTTTGCACCTTTTCCGATGTCATCGCGGCCAGGTAGTCGGACGCTTCCGGGTCAAATTGCCAGGTATGGACATCAGGAACGTTGTAGGTGTCCGTGAAGCTGCGCTCGCTGTCGACACTCGCCTCGCCGCCGAAACTCTCTAGTGCGAGTGCCTTGGCGGCGACTCCAGCGTTCCCCGTCAGGGCGATATCTCTCGAGATCTCCATATTGCAGTCATGGAAGTGGTCGAGGCGCTCTTCGTCAATCAGGAGCTCTTCTCCGTTGTTGATTCGCGAAAGTCCCTCCAGGCTGTCGACGATTGTACCGAGAAGTAGCCGCCCGACCGCCACTCGTTTTCCGAGAATGTGGTATTCTGGAGTGTTCGCGCCCATCTTTTCACTACAGGACCTATCACCTCAACAGTTTATTGGGATTTGGGCGGGAAGTCAGGGAGAATGTGGGGGTTGGTTATCATGTCTCTGAAGACGGGCCAGACAGCATCAAGGTTTGTCACCTTTCTGGTTAGAAACATGGATGGAACGACAGGAAGCTTGGTCGGAGGACCTGGAGCTCATCTTTTCTGCACAAACGCAGCTGCCTACACGAATTGGCACTTTTCCGTCCTCACGTGTGGTTCTCGTGTATCGTCCAAGGATAATTGGCTGGCGGCTCCGCACTTAGTGCGGGGTCGGCTGCGACGCAACAACGCGGATTTTCTGCTCGGCGCACGTGCTGATGCGGCACCTTTGTCGACGACCTGACCTTTGGCACACGCTGGGCATTATTTGGCAAAGACAGCAAGCTCACGTTCCCGTCGCAGTCTACATACTGCTCCATATGGTTGGGCTATACGACTCACTCGACGCCGTGTTTCGGGCGTTTGTCGACCAGTCTCATGGTTTCTCGCACCAAAGCCCAACATCAGCGGAGCTGAACGTGGTCATACGGACAGCCTCAGTCTTCGCCCGGGTTGACCCTTTCATTGCCTCATGCGCCTGGAATGCCTCTGGAAATGAAACTCCGCAACGTTTCCAGGAGCATGTAAAGGAGGGTTTTGCAAAGATTGGCAAGGACGTGACAGTCTCGCAGATACGGAACAATGCGGAGGCTATCGATAAGGTTCTAGAAATCTCTGAAGTGATCGAGAAGATGGTCAAAGCCAGTGAACCACCAGAGGAGAATCTATATCACACGGCGGATGAAGACTTCGCCAAGTCGAACCTGGACGCCCGGGTCGTCCTTGGGGCCAGAGTCCGCAACGGCTTGAAAATCTTAGTCTGTGCACTAATCCAGCAGCTACATTGTTGTGATAATGGACATTTCCTGCGGCTGAAATTGAGTGGGTTCATCAACGAGGTCGACGCACAGTCAAGGCTGTTCTTTGACGCTTACCTGTCTTCGCAATACATCTGGAAACCCCCCCGCTGGGTCCAGAGTAGGTGCATCATCGCAAAGTATGTGTCTCTTGTTCTATTTCCTATAGTTCAACTAGGATGTTGTCCGACGTGTTACTCTTTGCCGTCTCGCCCTAGCAATTCCCTGAAAGTGCCGTTATCAATCCCAAATTTTGCCACGGTTTCTAACAGGCATTCAGTGACACCATAAAGACGCCAGAATGTCATGGTTGCCACATCCTCCGTAATGCGGAAGAGCGAAACGAAAATTTGAGTATTCTGCTCGAAGAGGCTCCAATCCGACAGCGGGAATATGGCACACAGGAGCCGCAGAAGGTGGACTATCTTGTATCTCAGACTACCAAGATTCAACTCGAGGGCTGCTCGCCCCTCTCATCTGCGGCAGCTCCCACGAAGAGCTTATGGGAGCTTCTCAAACAAGGTGAGGCCGGTTGCGACTCCAGCGAAAACGAAAATTCGGAGACTTTCTTTCCTGAAGACCGAGAGATGATATGCCTGAATTTGGCGCTCTCTCTTCTCCCCCTGTCGACCACCCATTGGAGACGGGCCAGCTGGACCTCGGATGGCAACACTGGTGAAGGCATATTCTTCCTCAGAGATCCCGCCACCCAGAAGATCGTCGATAAAACTCACCCGTACCTCTCTTATCGGCTCCATGACAGGCCGAAGTCGGAAGATGACGACAGCCTAATTTGTGACCCGCAGCTTCTAGACTTTGCGAAGCTCATTATGGAGATCCGCATGTGGAAAAGATTGCCTCTCTCTCACAAAGCCGGCAAGCTGTCCAAAGAGCAGCTTCGTCTATACCTACTCAATTTGATCAACGACCGTCGGCGGTTCCGGGACAAAGACGGAATGTTCAAGAGGGCTGTCAAGGCATGCCTTGATGCAGCGGGAAAGGAGGCAACCCGGGATGAGGCTAACAAAGACAGGGCCCGCAACTACGTATTCGACAAGATAGTCAGGCCTCTGGACAGTTACGCTGAATTTCCCGAGTTCTCAACATCAGAACCGACTGATTCGCCCACTGACAATTCAGAAGGAACTCAGGATCCGCTTTTCGATTGGAAGGCAGAGTATAACACACCCGAAGACAAATTGTTCGTATCTTTTTACCATTTCCAGAAGAGAGCAATATCCCCTACCTAACACGTAAATAGATTACGCGCACAGGATTTCCTCAACAGAATGGACCAGTTTATTGAGAAACACATAAGGAACCAGACGTGCGACGAACCGCTGCCAAAACATCGAAGCCAGAAGATCCGCATAGCCGTTATCGATAGCGGCCTGTCGAAAGATGATCCGGTCATTAGACATGCTCGCGAGCATGACAAGATCCGGAAGTGTCGCAACTTTTCCTCGCCAGACTACGAGGACTGGGACGATAAGCTGGGGCATGGCACCATAGTGACTCGCCTCCTGCTTGATGTGGCGCCAGAAGCTGAGCTTTTCATCGCCAAGGTTACCATAAACGGAGAGCAATATATACCCAAGAGCAAATTGCATTGTATAGCCAAGGTGAGTGATTCCGGACCATCAGTTATCCTGAGGCTTTCTGGTCAGCTTGTCACAAACAATAATGACGCATCGTACTCGAGAGAAAAGGCCATCAACTGGGCAGTCCAGGTCTGGAACGTCGACATCATCACCATATCCTTAGCGCTCCACGAAGAAAATCCCGACATCGACGAGGCGCTCAACGAGGCTCTAGACCCGTCGTACGTCGGGGCGACGAGGAAGATTGTATTCGCCGCGGCCGGCAATAATAGTGGTGGCAACGCACGGCGGTCCTGGCCCGCGAGAAAGGACGGCGTGATCGCGGTGCACGTCACCGACGGCCTCGGAACGGCTGTGAACATCAACCCCAGCAACGAAGGAGATGTGTGTTTTGCGACGCTGGGGTGCGGCATCAAGCACACGTGGTACAACGAGGACGACCAAGGAGAAGTGTATATCTCCGGAACGTCGTTCGCCACACCTATCGCAGTTGGCATCGCCGCCAACGTAATGGAGTATGCACGGCGTCGAGTCGACGACCTCAACGAGGAACGCAAGAAGCGACTGTACTCGGCTGGCTGCATGAAGCAAATATTCAGGGCTATGTCCGACAAGCGTGGCGACTACTACTATGTCCAGCCCTGGACATTCTGGAACGACAGGATTCGTGGCGGACGGTGGAGGAACAGGGATTTCCCAATCAACGACCCCGACAACATCGGTCTGGCCCTCAAGTATATCATTACCGATTACTAAAGTGGGTGGGAAATTGGAGTAGACGTTGGAAAGTGCCAATTTTCGCCCTACAACCATATGCTTTTACCGCACATACAAATGATCAATTCCCCGTTACCGTCGTGAAAAATATGCCCATGCTTACAGTTCCTCGAACTGTAACTGAATTAATTATACAGTAGATTTTTAATCATACTAGACTAATATCAGATCCATCCCTTCCATTGCCGTGAATATGGCTTTGAGGACAGAAAGTTGGTCAGAGCGTCCAGTGTTGACGTAAATGTTCGCAAGTTGCTTCCCAACGACAGCCGTTCGAGGATCATCTTTGCAGAGCCCATTTTCCTGCGTAATCTTGCGCAGTATCTTCGTGCAGTTCTTCTCGGCTTCCTCCAGCCGACCAGAGCAAATCTGCACATGGATGTACCAAGACATGGTTTGAATCCAGTCAGGATGGTCATCTTTGATGGCAAACTTCAGCTGCTGAGGATAGGACGCTGAACACTTGGAGAAAGGCCTTCAAGCTAGCCTGCTAACACTACTAACTCACGAGAAGCCGCGGAGGTAGGACAGAAAAGAGAGGACAGAAGCCAGAAACAGTTGATTTAAGGGCTCAAGGAGAAAAGAATTCGCTTCAAGAAATGTACTTGTAGATAAGCAATAGTTACCCCATCGGGTTGCCCGCCAAGCGTTAATAAATAGTGTGTGTGTACTGTACCAAGATATTGCACACCAGGATCCAGGTTCAGACCTTGTGGGTGCCGATAGTGGCTCCCTGTCTGGTTACCTGATGGCCAATTGGATCCAACTCGGTTCGGATATGGCGTATGCATTCCTCACAATGGCGCTATCTGGTAGCGGCTCAATCTAGATCCCTGTGGATAAGGCATGGGCCCCGGAAGGCAAAAGAAGTGCGTCGACAGACGTTGTGAATTATGTGCGTGGTGCTGGGGAGGGCATGCCTCGATGCTGGCGAGCAGGAGCGAGGTTCCACTGATGGCCAAGTTAATGAGCAGATTCCGTTTTGAATTTTGAGGTAATCTGCGAGCGCTGGGTGGGAGAGAAAAGGCGCTTGGACCTGATTGCACGTCGACAGTTGACTCTATCCATTGTCTCGTACTTCTCTACGCCGACCGAGGCAAGCTAGATGAAGCGGAGAAGATATACCAACGAGCGCTGGCTGGATATGAGAAGGCGCTGGGTACCGATCACACGTCGACACTCGACAGGGTCAACAATCTCGGTCTGCTATACGCTAAACAAGGCAAGCTGGAGGAGGCGGAGACAACGTATCGACGAGCTCTCCAAGGATTTCAAAAGTCACTTGGAGCAGACCATCCTTCGATCATGACAGTTATGACCAACTTGCAAGCGCTGCAGACTCCGTTTGGCAGAGACGCAAGACCGAACAGTACTCAGAATGCGGCACCATCAACCAATGACACCCGTAAGAAGTGGTGGAAATTCAAAAAGCGAAGCTAGATGATCGTTATACAGAAACGTATCTAACCATGTTATACATCTGTATCTTACATACGCTGACCATGAGATACTGCCAATACCGTACAAGGCCATGACAATACTTGGTGGTGATTGGGTATTTGTGCGCGTCTGCTTTAGCCAACGGAATCAGTCTTGCCCCACAAAGTGGTCTTGGCCTTGATATGAGAAAGTCGCAATGTGCCATTAAAGGGTAGGGCGGTTTCGGGAAGGACTGTACCAAATCTCTCCACTACTTTCGCAAAACCTAGATTAGTCTGCGACGTATGTGGCTGTCCCGTCGGTCTCGTAGATGGGCATCCGGTGGATGTATGTACTTCGTAGACCATTCTTGTTGCCGTCACCGTCACCGTCACTATTTCAAATTTCTCCTGGACCCCTCGCAGTATTGATCCGGACCTTAGGACTTCGCATTCTCACATCTTCCTACTCTCGCTTTTGCTTTTTGGCTCTTCTTTCCATTCCCTCCATATCCTCACAATTTCCAGTTTCTCCCAACCTGCCGTCCTCCCACTCGTCCCGACCGTTTCCGCACACCACACCCACCTTCCATCGTTCGCTCCGTCCCAACCTCTAATCCAGCTCTTTACTTCCTCCGGCCTATTACCACGACAAAACAACACATATGCCACGCCCTTCGTGCTCAGCAGCGTCGGTAACGCGTTGAGAAGCCGGCTCGTGACTTGCATGCCATCTTGCCCGCCCGCATATGAGAGTTCGAGGAGATGCGAGGATTCGGCGAACGTCGGCTTCTCCTTCGCGTTGCCAATATCAACACCAATGTCTGCGTCGTGCGCCGGGACAGACTCTGTCGGCACATAGGGCGGATTGAAGACAAGTACGTCGACTTCGCCTGCTCTCAGTGGCGCCGCAAGGTCTCCGAGTAGGGAAGACAGGTAGATACTTCCACTCCCATTCCCACTCCCACTTCCACCGCACTGGGCAGGATTTGGATTTAGACTTGGATTTTGAAAGCCATCTCCCTCCGACTTGGACCGCGTCGGTGTCTGTGCCACCGCAGACTCGGACTCAGCGTTTCTCTCCCGCTTTTCCACCAAGGCCTTCTGCACCGTCGTCGCAGTCGCAATGCACGCATGCAGATTCACGTCGACGCTGAGCCCGAGGACGTCTGTGCCGAAGATCTCACGTGCATGCACACTTAGGAATGCGACGATCACACCTGAGCCTGGGCCAAGCTCGAGAAGAAGTGGAATCAAATTCCGGTCTTCAATTTCATTGAGATGCACATCGGCATCGGCATCGACATTTGCGCCTGTCTCTGTACCTGCGTCTGAAGCAGCCCTATCCGTGGGAGGGGACGGTTCGCATTCAAAGCGCCGATGCAGCCATGCCGACTCCTTGGCCGAAGACAACGTGTCGAGGAATAAATACGAGTCTTCGGCCGGTTCGTAAACGGTGTCATAGGAAACGTGAGAAGTTGAGGGCGTAGGGAGCATAATCTTTGTTGTGTTTTTGGTGTCTGGTCCTTGCCCTCCCAATGTCTCGCACACTGGACGTGTTTGGCCTGGCCGCTTAATTCGTCGGGTGTGATGTAGGGTAATACTTCTTCCCGCTCCTAAATGTGAGAATGCCGGCATCAAGGTAGTGTGTTCATGGCTCCTTGGCTAGGTGTCGTTTCTGGACTGAGGTCGTTGGGGTGTTGGCTCTGGGCCCGTGCAGGACAACATCTAGAGAGATCAGGATGACAGTTAGCTTTCGAGAATATTCATCCCTTACAAGAATATGTCGATGTCACTGCCTCAGAAGGATGGATAGTCTTCTTGATTGACACAGTCGCAATAGGACCTAGGTATATACAGTTGGTAATGGAGAGAGAAATAATATTTACATCTTGTTGCGGGTAATTTTCGGTGAAGATTGAGGCACCTTTACCATGTGAACTGATAGCCTCGCGGGCAAATTTTTCCTCGACACATACGGCTGAGTACTAATCCAGATATGTCATTCTCTGCCATAGTCCCAACAAGGCGCAGCTCATCATTCATGGCCGTTACAAGAATTTTGTCTAACATATTCCTCACAGGACACCCGAACAACCCAGGAGCACTATGGAGACTGGAACGACCCACAGTCCGTTCTTCCCCTCATCTTTCTAGGCAATTTGTTCTTGACATGTACGTACTTGGCGCAGCAAAAACTCACGACTGACTCGAGCCAAAGTCGGTGGAGCAACCACAGTGTGCGTACGAGAAAATGCACGGAATCCGTCTTTTCCGTGATATGGGTCGTAACCACTTCGCCGACACTAAAAGGAGCATGAGGCACGCCGGCATAGAGCATGACGTCGTTGATCGTCACGCCTCCTGAAACCGTCTTGTCCAGCTGAGCTGGAGGACCACCGAAGTTAGATGTTGTGATGCTGCGGCGCGGCAATTATCCGGCCAATTTTGCTTCCGCCAGTGATAGATGGGTCCTGATATTTCGAAACATGGACGACCAGAAGTTCTTGAGCGGCCAGATCAAGCTCAGATCGCGTGACGAAGATACACAATTCCCTGCATTTGGTGAGAAGCGTCATCATCTCAAGCGACATTGGGCCCCCACGGTGAATTGTCTCAGGATCAGAGAAGGACTCTGGGCTTAGCAGCGGTGACGGTGGCCAGGATAGACGCGACACCCAATGGCTCTTTTCTCAACGAAGCTTCCCCAAAAGATCGCACGAAGAAACCGGCATTAGGTCTCTCGCCTTTATCTACATAATCCAGCATATCAACAACATCGCCTTTTACGCCAGGCGATTCTGTAGTGATGGTCTCGTATGGGTCGGTTGGGTTCTGTATGAAGGGCATCAGTGATAGGCAGGGTCGATTTCGATTCCTAAGGTATCGATACGGAATCGATACTAAGCGGTATCGATAAGGAATCACTAGAATCGATTCTTTTATCTGCACGTGACCAGAATCGATTCCTTGACCGACTTTTGATTTTATCATCTTCTTTTTCTTTTCGTACGATGATTTCCCTTATAATATGGCCTCCGAAACAGATTCATTCTCCTTTGTACAATCTACGACTCAAGAGTCGAGTCAAAGTCGAAAATCAATCAAATGGAGGAGTCCAGTATGGGATTACTGTCGCATCGCAAACGAGGATGAGAACCCCGAGTTTTTATACTGTTCTCGCTGTTTACTAGACTGCCCTAAAAAGCCGTACGGTTCTAATATTCCTACGAATATGAAGAAGCACCTTCACCTAGCCCACGCAATTATTGTCGACAAGGCTATTGGGAAGATCCAAGCAACTGTCGTTCAACAATTGAGACAACTTCATCTTCAAGCAAAGACGGCTGGCTACACGGAAGAGTTCGATTCTCAAGTCCTCCAGTTACAGCTTAATCAAGTGGTGATTAACGAAGCCTTGATTTCCTTGGTCGTCGTACGAAACCTTCCATTTACTATCGTCGAATGGCCCGAATTTCATACCTTATGTCAAGCGCTGAACCCGAAATGCCAGGGTATAATTACTACGGCACACTCTACGATCACCAAGAAAATGGAAGAGTCTTGGAATAATCATAAAGACGTTGTACGACGAGATCTCCAATCAGCAATCTCGAACATTCATCTCTCACTGGATATCTGGACTTCTCCGAATCGGTACCTTCTCGTCGCGATTTGTGCACATTACACCACACATCTCTTAAAGAGGCAAAAGGCTCTCCTCGCTCTTCGTCAGGTAAAAGGCCATAGCGGGGAAAACCAATTTGAGATCCTTCTTCCGGTCCTTCAAGATTACGGCATCGTACGAAAGCTCGGGGCTATCGTTGCCGATAATGCCAGCCCAAACAATACACTTTGTCATGAAATAGAGGGTTATATGTATAAGAAGGAAGACCGAGAGTGGAAGGCAGCGCATTGGCGGATCCGTTGTAGCGGCCATATTATTAATCTCGCTGTACAAGCCTTTTTATTTGCTAACGTTTTTGAGGTGGAAGAGCTCGAGTCGTACGATGATGAAGATAGAAGGGGGGAGAAGGGAGACGAAGAGGCCAGAAAGGTCAAATTTCGGCTCATGGGACCACTTGGCCAGATACATAATGTCGTCGTCCATATTCGTGGATCAACTGCTTACATCGCAGAGTTTTTGGGGCTTGCCAGAAGAAGGATTCCGCTTGACAATCGTACGAGGTGGAATAGTTGGTATTTGATGCTTCTCGTGGCCTTAGAATTAAGACCAGCGGTGGAGAAATACTGCCAAAACCACGAGGTAGATTTAAAAGATGACGAACTTACTCCCGAGGACTGGAGACGGCTTCGTACGATTAAGGAGTTTTTGGAACCATTTCATTCGGCAACTCTTTATACCGAAGGAGACTCTGCTGCGATCGATCGAGTCCTATTTACCATGGATGTTTTGATTAAGCATTTTCAACTCTCCCTTGTAAGTAAGACTCTTTTCTCCTCAACTTAAAAGGTACATACAGTATTATTGACCGTGCGAAAGGCCAGATTTAAAAAGAAAAAGGATACAGAATTCGCCGCTCGAATCCACAAAGCGTGGGTACTCTTCGACAAGTATTATATGAAGACAGATATGTCCGCATTATACGCTGCAGCCCTGATTCTTCACCCGGGCCGTCGTACGAGGTATATTGAAGTTAATTGGCTAAAGAAGTATGTGAAGCCGACTTTGGAAAAGGTTAGAAAGCTTTGGGAGAGTTATCGAGAAGCTGCCCCGATTCCTGCTGCTCTGATCTCTCCGTCGTACGGCAGAGGACTTGAGGAACCCAAAGAACTGAATACTTTTGACCAAATTGCCCAGTCTCTGAAGCAAGTTGCTCGGCCTACTAGCCAAGACGAATATGAAGACTACAATTCCGGAGAGTCGTACGAGCTTCGCAAAGGAGTCTCAGCTCTCACGTGGTGGTGCCACGATACGCAAAGACAGCGCTGGCCTCGACTCTCACATATGGCGATTGATATTCTTTCAATTCCAGCGATGAGTGATGAACCAGAGCGAGTATTTTCAGGGGCTCGTCGAACGATATCGTGGGAGAGGGGACAATTAGATCCCGAGACAATTGAGATGACCGAATGCCTTAAGCATTGGAAAAAGAGTGGGATCTTGGATAAGTTTCTTGAGAGTGAAGATGAATGAGTCCATCGTACGATGAAACAAGATTTACAGCTATCCACTGGATCCGATGAAATACCACGGCCCATCAGATCTAATCCATGGATCATCTCGACGTCGAGGCTTACACGTTCACGCTCAGTTACGAACCATCTCGAGTGTGATTAGTAGAGCTTTTAGGTGGTCCACAGACTAGATCCGATGTGTGGATCATCTCGATATCAGGACGTCGACCTCTATCGAGTAGGATGGCCCCCGGCCACACGGTCCACGGATTGGATCCGATGGCGGTAGTCTTTCATCAGATCCGATTCATGAATCATCTCGACATCGAGGCTCGTTCGTTAACGCTCCGTTACGAGCCATCTCGAGTGTGATCAGTAAGGGCTTGGGTAGTCCACAGATTGGATCCGATGGCGGTGATCTTTCATCGGATCCAATCTATGAATCATCTCGATATCGAGGCTTATCCGTTAACGCCCCGTTACGAGCCATCTCGAGTGTGATCAGTAAGAGCTCGTCTTAGGTGGTCCACAGATTGGATCCGATGAAATACCACGGCCCATCGGATCCAATCCATGGACCACGTCGACATCGAGGCTCGTCCGTTAACGCTCGGTTACGAAGCATCTCGAGTGTGATTAGTAAAGCTTGTCTGAGGTGGTCCACAGACTGGATCCGATGGGCGACGAGAGGGGGATTTCATCGGATCC